TGCTTTGGGGGAGCGTTCTGTGTGTCTTCCCTGGTGGACAGAGGAGGTTATCATGGCCTAGACAGAGAAGGCATCAAAGGAAGACAGAGTGGCCAGGAGAGGGAGGAAGTGAGGTTGATCAACATAATTAAACCAGCACAAACGCTGCCCACCAAAACTCCACACCAAGTCTTTGGAAGCTGGCTGTGTGTGTTCAGCATCATGTACTTCTTTGCCCCCTTTGGGACCCTGACTTGAACCACATGCCTTAACAAACTACAATAACTTGGTGAGCCCTCAATCAAACACTCAGTCTCACTGAACTGTGAAAACCAATGTCCCTGTTTTTAAACAACATCTAGTGAAGCAGTTTACACCTGAGTTAATAGTGTATCTTTTCTAAAATCATGGTTTATATCACCTAACTATTGTTAAAATCAAACCCAAACAGAACCAACATTCCCTGGTTTGTGTAGCTTTCCGCCAAACTTGAGTGATGGTTGACCAACCGTGCAGTTTGCAATCATGTGATTGAGGACCTAAAAGTCATCCTTCCTAAAACAATCTTCACAGTTCCCTGTCACAGTACCTGATAGCCCCACTATTAACTACCCCTTTTAGTACCTGCTTCAAATACACCTGTTATCTGGGAGGTGTTCTTAGCCTTCTTCATTGCACTGGTGTTTGAGAATCACAGCTTTAAGCATCAGCAAACACACCAGGAGCACCGGCTGTCTGTCCACACACAAGCTACTCCATGTCTTCAGATCAGTAAGTTCTGAAAAATTAAGCATCAGAATCACCTGGAGGCTTGTTAGAACACAGCTTTCTGGGCCCCACCCTGAGTTCCTGATTCAGTAGGTCTGAGATGGAACCTGAGAATTTGCATCTTGAACAAGTTTCCAGGTGGAGCTGATGCCTTTGGTCCAACACCCACTTTGAGAACCCCCGCGCTAGCTGATTTCTAAGGAATCTTCATGCGATACGGAGGCAAAGTGGGAAAGCATTCTGATTGTGACCGGTGTAAGAAAACAGAGGGCTCCGAGGTAGAGAGGGGTCAGGACCCAAAGGCAGGCCACACTTTCTCAAACGATCCCCCAAAATACAAGAGCCTCTGGTTACCCAAATTCTGATGGGGCTCCTATCTTGCTTTCTTCCCCGGGTATTTTCTGTCTACTGCCCCCAGGAAAGGCAAGTCTGCTGGTAGTCCCCTGGCAGCCCTAGCGAGGACAAAAGGCAGCTCCCTCCCCTGGCCAGCACAGGCCTTCCTGAAGGGGAGTGTTCACACAGCTGATCAAGCTGTCCATGCGCTGCTGGGCCCTCTGCTGTTTCCCTGGGTCTCCTGACATTTCTTAGAATTTACACAGAGCTCAGAAGTCTTAAACAACATTTTTTCCCTCTCTTTTGACATCATCTACTTCCTAATAGGATAAATTCAAAGGAAAACATGCTCTGATCCTTCATCCTCCCTTTCTCGACATAAACTAAGGAACTAATTAGCAGGCCCGCCACGGGGGTGGGCAGTAAGGGGTTCCTATCAGGACCACAGGCTGGGAAGCCACCCTTCAGGAAGGGCCTCATGACTTTGGTCATCATGTCAGGAGTTGGTTCCATTTCAGTGGCATTTACTGGGCAAATAGTTCTGTTAGTGATTTAGCTTACATCTGAAAGCACTCTGATATCCACACTTTCGAATGACTCTCACAAGATCCCTATGAAATGATTAGAATGGGAGCGATGACCCCATTTGGCAGAAAAGACCATTGAGAAGAGAGGTTCAGAAAAATCAGTGGGTGTGAAATCAATGAACTCAGCTAGCTTCCTGTCAGTAATGTGCTAGTAAATGACGAGTCATTCATCTGTTCAAGACAGCCGACCAAATCAACTAGCCATGTCTCAGGCACAGTGATCAGACTTCTCGGAGGAAACCAAGATGAACCTGAGACAGCCGGCAAGGAACCAAGGGGCCCTCAGCCTAGGAGAGCACAAAAGACCAGATGCCTATGAGACAGAGCAGAGAATGGCATCGGTGCTAGAGACCCGGGCTATGGGATGGGAAAAGGTGACATGGAAATTCAAAGGAAGGAAAGGTCAGTTCCAACCGGGTACCCAGAAAGACTTCATGAAGGAGACAGCACATGGACAGGCTACCCATCCAAACAGGAAGGCCCCAGTTCCAGTGCCCCTTCGGCCACTGTTGGCCAAGGAATCTTGAGAAAGTCAGGTTTCTGTTTTAAAATGGACTCTTGCCCTGGCTGGTTTGGCTCAGCGGTTGGAGCGTCGGCCTGCGGTCTAGAGAGACCCGGGTTCGGTTCCTGCTAAGGGCACGTACCTCAGTTGTAGTTTGTCCCCGGCCCTGGTTGGGTTGTGCGGGTGGCAACCACTTGATGTGTCCCTTTCACATCGATGTTTCTCTCTCTCTCTCTCCCTCCCACTCTGTCTGAACCAAAAATGGAAAAAAATGTCCTCGGTTGAGGATAAAAAAATAAATAAAATAAAATAAAATAGACTCTTTTCCTTAGTGCCTCCCAGCATTATGAGGATTAAATGAGAACTGACTTAAATGCACTTTGGATAAATAAAAGCGCCAAACACAAAGCCTTCCGCCGTCACTCAGGGAAGAGAAGGGAAGAAGCTAAAAGCAGAAGGTATGTGGTGGAGGAAGTGGTTGAGGACAGGCGGTGCCTGCCAAGCACAGGGCTGATGTGAACACCTACTGGGCTTGAAACAGGCTCCAGTGATTTTTTTTAAAACCTCCACTAGCTCATTTTATTGACGAGAGCCCAAGAAGAGTAAGTCAGAGCATTTAAATTCTCCTCTATCAGGAACGTGAAAGTTCCATTTGGAGACGTGGCTTCCTGCCCTGAGTAATGGGGTAACAGCCCCGTTACTGGGCCTGGTGTGCACTCAGAAAACACTCATGAAAGGATGGGGTCCTCACTATTCTCCAAGGTGCTTGATGTTTATGCTCCATTTTTGATTCATAACTGTACGCCACTGGGACAGACAGAGCATGTATTATCTTCCCTGTCAAAGAAGGGGAAACTGAGGCTCCCAGATGGGGGGCATCCATGTCTCAAGCTAGCACCATCAGAAATGAGCCCAGGTCCCTGCCTGCTCACATAGTATTACTTCCTTACACGGTGGACCTCCTAGGAAACAGTACTACAGCCAATCTTTGCCCCAACAAATCACCATCCCTGCCTTTCCTGAAGGAAGGACTGTTCTGAACACTTTCCCTGTAATACTGCACTTACTCAGACTCTGTAATCAAGGAAGGGCCTGTGATTATTCCTCGTGTACTGGTTTCTTCCAATTCAGAAGGTGATTTTTTGTATCCCAGAAATAAGAGTGTCACAGACTCTCTTATTACCACATACAAACTGATTTGAGTTAAAATCTTTGGTTCAGCTGCCTGGAGTCATTGCTCCTTCGAGGAAAGAGAAGTTAGACACAGCACAGGGCATTAAGACGACAGGAAGACTTATTTTTCTTTTTCTTTCTTTTTTTTTATCCTCACCCGAGGGCATTTTTTCATTTTTTGTTCAGATAGAGTGGGAGGGAGAGAGAAAGAGAGAGAAACATTGACGTGAAAGGGACACATCGAGTGGCTGCCACCCACACGACCGAACCAGGGCTGGGGACAAAGTACAGCCGAGGTACATGCCCTTAGCGGGAACCGAACCCGGGTCTCTCTGGACCGCAGGCCGACGCTCTGGCCGCTGAGCCAAACCAGCCAGGGCTCACTCTTTCTTTTTTACCATGGACGTTCCTGCCCGTGGAGTCGGCTGTCCATTCTGACAGATGGCCTGGCTGGAGGAGGGGAGCTGAGGGCAGTCTCATGGTTAAGGTGGCACCAAGGAACGAGAGCCAGCTGAACTGATTTGGGCTCTGAAATCTGGGCTGGAGCCCTCTTCCCCTCCCCTGCCACCCTCCCACTGCAGCTGCACCAGACAGGTCAGTGCCTTTCTGTGCATCTGTGACCTTCTGGCTGCAGGCAATTAGGGTGCTGAAGCATGTTCAAGGTCAGAGCTGCCCTTCTCTTTCATGACCCACCCAAGCCCCTTGGCTGATAACAGCTTATGGTACACCTACTTTCCAGGGAATGCTTTCATTCTAAGAAAAATTTGTGGCACAGAGGTTTTGGCAGGAGGCTGGAAATGACACCCCCTCCCCCAGCTCTGGTGAGGGGTCCCTGGTGATGTGTGCTCAGGTTGAGCATCTCAGAGGCTCCCCCAAAGGGGCAGAAACCAGGGGTGAAGGGAATAGAATTTCAGAGGACCTCCAGCTCCTGAAGGAAACAGTGGATCAGGTAAAAGAGGTCTGGAGGAGTGTCAGTATCTCCACCAGTATGGCTGGGTCAGCTCTGATCTCTGCAGCTGGTGGAGCATGTAGCCACCCACCAGATGGGGTCCCAACAGTACCATCCACACACCCATAGCTATATCACACTCAGGGCCGAGGGCATTGTGGGACCTGGGAGAGCTGAGCCATTTGCTGGAGGATGGACATTGAGGATGAGTTGATCAGATGAACAGTTTGTGCCACTTGTCCACAGACAGAGAGAATGGGACACGGAGTGGGTCAACTTTGTTGGGAAGAGGAAGAGGCAAGATGAACCAGAGCATAAGGCTGGTACGGTGGGGAGCCTCATTAGGAGTCCTGAGCAGGCAGTAGGGAAAGTAAGTGGTTAGGGGATGTTAGAGGCAAATCCACAAATTGCACAATTTTAAAGCCACAGAGTTTGGAGCTGGAAGAAATCTTAGAGATAATCTAGTCCAACCCCCTCTTACACAACCTGGAGTTATTGGTCATGGCCATATGGCAGAGTCAAGATCAAGACCAGAACCACCCTCTCAACAACTTTTCAGGCCAGTGGTCTTTCTAGCACCGTCCAGTCTCCTCCAGACACAAACCCCAGTCCCCTGGCTCCCATGGAGCTAGGAATACACTCTCGAACACCATGAGCATCCTTGAGGATTCCATGGGCCACCCTCAACAGCCACTCCAGCCACACATACCTTGTGCGAATAATGCTGATCAACGATCCTCGCCAACCCGAAGTCCCCTATCTTGAGCACGAGGTCCTCTGTGCTGATGAAGATGTTGGCGGGCTTCAGGTCCCTGTGCAGCACATTGGCGGAGTGGATGTACTTGAGCCCGCGGAGCAGCTGGTACATGAAGAGCTTCGCGTGCTCCTCCGTCAGTGTGCCCTGCTCCAGCAGGCGGGCCAGGTCGGTCTCCATGTACTCCTGCACAATGTAGGCCACGCTGAACTTGAACAGCTCGCCCTGCAGGTTGGTGCCCTTGGGCCCCAGCACCTCGTGCACCTTCACGATGTTGTCGTGGTCCAGGCGACGGATGATCTTGATCTCCCGGAGTGCGTGCTTCATGCTGCGGGCGTCGCTCAGGGTGATCTTCTTCACGGCCACCTTCCTGCAGGTCCTGCTGTCCGTGGCCGACAGCACCAGCCCATTAACGCCAAAGCCCAGGGGTTGCAAGTCAATGAAGCGCCCACCGAGGTCATACCCGTAGACACTGGCAATGCAGTCCCCCTTCTCGGCCATTGTTGGCTCAGTGGTGGTCAGGGGATGCCCGTGTGATGAAGGGGCAGTCAGGAAAGGCCAAGTCCCAGCTAGTGGCTTCCCCAGCACACCTCATTCTGTCAAGTTCCAAAGCTGAGGGATGCTTTTTCTCGTGGTGATGTCACTGCCACCAGCTCCCTGGAGACGAGAGTGGCACATGTCCATGCTTGCTGAGCTGCAGAAGTTGGAGGCTCATGCTGTTTTCTTATCCTGCACTGGGAGGGCTGTCCACCAACTCCTGCATCTCCTGAGCCCTGCTCCACACTTAGAATGGCTCATGCTGCTTTCAAATGTAGCATCTTGGAAAGAGAAACTAGTCTCATCATCTATGGGAGCGTCAAGTTTTCTGTCATAATGGACCACAAAGATGCAGAAACTCTCCCTTTGACTCCTTTGTTAAAAGAAGTTCCTTCGGGCTGAAATGCTTTTGTCGAGCTGTGTTCCTTTACTGACGGATGGTCCGAAGCTCAGTTGATCACAGCCTCTGGCAGCTTGGTGGCTGTTCCCTGTGTCCCGGGCAGAATGAAGGGATCCCGACAATGGATTCTGGAGGCTTCTAGGGGCTTCTTTTTACCTTTGCCAGCTCCGCTTTCTACCAGCTCACCTTAGATTCTGCAACCCAAAGCAGCCTGGGGAGCATCAGTGAAGAAGCTGGAGACACCCCAGCACCTTCCATGAGCGCTACACCAAGTTACACCTGGAGTCCCAAGTCCGAGGGGAGCTCAGCTTCCAGGCCAGGCTCCTCTGGAGGCCTCCGTGGGGGCAGCATTCTCTGTCACGCCCTCACCCATGCCACGTCGGATGAGACTGTGCGCTGCTGGGCTCCGAGAGGCTGCAGGGACGCGGCATCTCTCAGACCGAGTCTCCTTCCCTGTCAAAGAAATAACGTTGGGTAAATTTCCACACTCCGGCTTCCAACACCGTCCCGCTAGCGCGTCTTTTGTTAACCAGCGCTGGTGTTATTTGATCTGTCCAGCCAGCTGAAACACTGCTTGCTCAGGGGATTCCAGCTTCTCAGGGCCCAGCCACCCCTCCTGCTGTGTGCAGCGGCCCCTGGAAGAGAGAGAAGATGGATTGATTCGCTCAGATCATCAGACGGTGTGCCTTTTATGTAAATGCCGGCTCCCCGAAGGTTAACCCTCGCAAACTGTAGGAGGGAATGGTCAGCTCTGACCTTTGCAAAATTCATTCTTTAAGCTCTCCGAACACACACATCAGCACTAGCTGGTTGGAATAAAAAGTAACTAGTAGCCAACAGAAATAAAGGATCAATAATCTTGTCTTTCCCCTTGGACCCCTTTTCTTCCTCCTTTGACAAATGTCTTTGAATATTTTGATAAGTTCACGTTCAAATTAGCAATTTAATTACAATGGTATCTCTTGCTTTCCACGTAGGTGGCAAATAAACACACATACCAAATTACAAGGAAATTGTATTGCCACCCTGATAAAGGGACTCTCTGCCCAGCAAACCAGGGCACAGACTTCTCAGGGTGACACCGGCACGGGCATGGGGAACTGTATTCTTTTTGACGATGGGGACCTAGCTCTTCAAAGCAATGGGTCAGATCTAATCCTGACTGCTCCCTGGTGACTGCTGACTCCAATTACAGGCATAGGACCCAAGTGGGGAGAGGAAGACTGCAAACTAGCTGTAGACATTCAGGCCCCTGAAGTAAAGGAAGTAATATCATAGTTTCTCAGGAAGTGGCAGGTTTTATGAGTTTATTAAGTCCACAGACACAATGAACAAACACTGCATCCGGAACAAAGGAGTGGATCTACTTTCTTTTTTTAAATTTATTTACTTTTTTTTTTTTGCATTTTTGTCTTCAGATAGAGCGAGAGGGAGAGAGGAAGGAAGAGAGAGAGAAACATCGATGTGAGAGAGCCACACCAAGTGGCTGCCACCCGCATGACCCCAACCGGGGCCGGGGACAAACTGCAACCCAGGTACGTGCCCTTAGCAGGAACCGAGCCCGGGACTCTCTGGTCCACAGGCTGATGCTCTAACCACTGAGCAAAACCTGCCAGGGCAGATCTACTTTCTTCAGTCCCATCACACTAGAGCATCTCCTGTAGGGACACTTTCATGTCTGAACTCTGCACAACTCTGCAAATGAGGAATGAAGCACAACAATATTCAATGCTCTGAAATTAAGAAGGCAAATTAGGGGACACAGATGATATGAAATAGTGAATAATCAGATCCCCTCTAAAAACTTCTCATGAAAGAAATTTGCCAGGGGTCTGGGACCTAGTACTTGCTCAGTAGATGTTACCTATTGTTGCTGTTGTTGCAAATTCCCTTACACTTAAGTAAGATGCACCTGCTCTTCTGGTGTTTCATCAAATCTTCAGCAATTCTACTCTGCATGTTTTTATTGGGCCCAGCAGCAAAATAATCATAGACTTGCAGAATCTCAGACTGGGACACAGTTGTAGGGAACAGGTCCAGTGGTCCCTAACTGAGGATGGTTCTGCCCTCCTTAACTCATTTGAGGAGTTGGTACTGGCCTTTAATGGGCAGGGCCAGATTTGCTTACCATCCTGCTGAGCATCTTCATTGGTGAATAACTGATACCCACCCCCACATGCCAGCACCCCCACTGAGAGACAAAGTGCTCACTTTGCACATGAGGGCGTTGAGGCTCCGGGAACACCAGCTCAGTGCTAGCACAGAGAGGGTCAATAAACATCTGATGAAGTGATACATGAATACCATTCACTCTGTTTGAGGATTCCTAGCCAATTCAAGTCAGTGCTGGGACCACCCACAGAGCTAGGGTCTAACATCTGTGCTGGTGAAGTCCACCTGGATATCTAATTCAGGGGAACCAAAGAGGCACCCCAGTGCCCCGTTCCATCCCTCCTCTGACGCCTGCTGCCCAAGGCAGGTAACAGAACCTAATTGGAGCTTCTTTTACTTTCTACCCATGTGCCTGGTTTGGTTCCCAAGGGCACAGCAAACAGAGGCATTTATATTTATATATTTTGCTTTATGAGGAGAGACTTAAGCCTTCTTCCCTTTCCAGCCCTCGCAGGGTTGTAAACAGAGACGGGAATGAGTGCCTAAGCAGAGAGGAGATGACATCACCAGCAAGCCGAAAGCAGGATTTGTTTGAGGTCAGCTGCAATGCAGATAATCTGTGAATAATTAAGAGGTGCTCTATTTATGTTTAAAACTCTTTCCTTTTCCTCTTACAGGGGAAGGGACTGTGTGTGTGTGTGTGTGTGTGTGTGTGTGTGTGTGTCTTCCCAACAAACTGTCAAGGCTTCAGTGGGTAGTTACCATGTCACCTTGCACAGCCTCTCCACCTTCCTCATGGGCCTGTGGGCCTGCCTATATACTCTTTATTCATTTTTATTTTAGAGGGAGAGGGGACAAGAGAGAGAGAGAAACATTGATTAGCTGCCTCCCGGGGATGGAACCTAAGATTGAGTATGTGCCCTGACCGAGAATCAAAACGGTGAGCTTTGGGTGCACAGGATGATGCATAACCAACTGAGCCACACCAGCCAGGGCCTGGCAATATACGATTTCAAGTCCTGCCTTGCTCCTCTGCTTGCACCTTCCTGGTTCCTGAACTGTTCTCCTACTTCCTCCCCACTTGTTGCAATCCTGCTCATCATCCAGAATCCAGATGAAGTCTCATTTCCTCTGTGATGCATCAACCCAGTCCCCAGTGACACGTCTCCCCTTTCAAACTCCTGCAGCATTCGAGTGTGTACTGCATTTGACACTTACTATACACTCATTTGGGCTGTTATTTAAATTTTTATACATGTCCATCTCCCAAGTAAACTTTCAGCTTAAGTCCAGGGCTCAAAGTAGCACTGAGAAAATAACTGGATTTGGAAGTACCCAAGGAACATCGGTTATGCCTCCATAATTGTGATACCCACGTTTCCTAGATGATCAGCCTCCCTTCCCTGTGCTTGCTGCTCCAAAGCAACTTGTTCAACAGGACTCTTCTCACGACAAGCCCCAACCACTCAGACAAACCAGTATTTCCGAACTTCAACCCACCGAGCATCATCTTCTCTTCGATGCTGCCTCTCTTAGAACTTCAACACTAACCAGGCAGCCCTCATCTGACCATTTCTTCGTTCCCATTTGTGTTTGCTATCTTCATCTCTTCTCAAACCTCTTTCTTTTCTACTTTTTTTCTATAATTCTTCTATAATGTCTACTGTCAACCCTCTGTCTTTTTCCACAGATGGACTGATTACAGAACACCTAAGAAGTCTCGGATCAGTGGTTCATTGCTTGTATGATACAGCCAGAGGTGTGGGCCCCTCTGTCCCAGAGAGGGGCAGACCTGGCATCTGGATGTGCCCATCTGGGCAGAGGATTGAGCATGGCAGCTCTTGGCATGATGCAACTTTGGGAAGAAGCACAATCCGTCTCCATTTGGAGCCGGTGGCTGAGAGCTGCCCTGAGTCACTAGTGTGACTTCAAACCAGGGACTTGGCATTCACCTTGAGAGAAAGGTCATCAGCTCAGCTGTGCTTGAATAACACCCAGCAAGAAGAAGACACGGAATTCTTTCAAGGGTGGCCCAGGCTCCACTACTGCATGGTGAACGTCATCAGCATACGGGTAGAACTATCCGCCCCAGAACTCCCAACAGTGGAGCCTCACCTCTCCACCGATTTCTCACCGACTCTCCAAAAATATCTTATTTGAAGCCAATTAATTGTCCTTGCATGCATCCAACCTTTTAATGTAGAGGCAAACCAGAGACAAGAGGGTGTGTGCCAACTGTCCCTTTCTGGGATTCCTGAGGCTCTGATTTACAAAGCAGCTTTGGAAAGTCTAAATTTAGACTCACCTCCTCTGCCTGCTCAGATCCTCCCAAACCTCATGCTGTTCACTTCCAGCAGGAACTGTGGCCCCCAGGGAGGTGCTGACATTTCACAGACACTGCTCTCTTCCCTCTCCTGAGCACCCAAAAACTTGCAGGAAATCCTTCTCAGATAGGGCTGATGTTTATTTACAGGTGAACAGGGCTGACATTTAGTTACAGGCGAACAGGCTGTGCACTGCACAATTCTGATGGCGCCATTCACATCAGAGTCAAGTCTGTGTGATCTAAGATTTGTCATCCTGGTCACTACAATCTGTGTGAATGAAGTCCTCCAGACCAGAGACCAGCACACTTTCTATAAAGGGCCAGAGGATAAATATCTTAGGCTTTGTAGGGCATACAGTGTCTTTTTCCACTATTCAACCCAACCACTCAACCCCGCCTTTGTGGCACAAAAGCAGCCACAGAAAATACCCAAATGAAGGGCATGGCTGCATTCTAATAAAACTTTATTTACAAAAATAGGTGGAGGGCCGGATTTGGCCTGGGGGCTGTAGCTTGCCAACCCCTGCTCTAGATCATGTGGGAACTCCCTCTAGCTTGTTCCTGAGTAGGCACCTAAGAGTGTTGTAACCCAGGCCCCTTTCCAGCTCTTGCTGCACCGTCTCCTCCCTCCTGGACTCAGTCCGCCTATTGCCCCTCAAGGTGGCGCTATCCCAGGACTGTTCCCCCAGAGAGGTTCCCTGAGCTTGGACCCAGGCTTAGTCAAGCTCACCTGTAGGCTGCATGCACTCAGGGCCCAGCTCTCTGCTCTCCGCGAGCTACCTTCCAGTTCTGCAAGTCTACGTACCGGTGACGCACTTCACTCCTAAACGGCATTTGGATCGCAACAGAGGCTTTCTGGAGAGGTGGCGAAGACAACATGCTGGAGAAGGGTAAGTACACTGACTCAGGGTTTACCACGGGCCAAGGGCTTTGCCTGATTGCTTCAGTTGAGTATCACAAGAGTCCTATGAGGTGATCATTCTCCCACGAAGCCTTCAGTGGAGGTGACTTACACAAAGTCATACCACCAGCTGGATATAAACGCAGGTCTGTCTGACTCCAAAGCCCACCCTTCTCATCATCGTAACACAAGGTCGGAGCCCATGTGAGTGACTCTCCACGAACTGTCTAGGCCCAGTGTGACTCCCAGGCCTAGCAAAGGACACGT